ACCGCGACAGCGTGTTAAGCACAGTTTTACTATACAATAAAAACAAACGTAATTTGAAAGCGGAAGTATCAGTTGCCAGCAGCCAATATATAATTAATTCAACAAGGAACCAGCTGCAGCGTTATGTTCTTCAAGCACACAAGCCGAAACGAAACGGGCAACAAGCAACCGCGAAGGGCGAAGCAACAAGCGAAAAAGGCGACTATAAGCTGCGTTTCAAAGCTTCTCGTTGACTTTTGCCAAGCTTGATCTTGTTTTCGATCTCGTCGCCGTCGATCAGCAACTTGCTCTTCATTTGAATAAAGTACTGGTAGTCGGCAAGCTGGTTTTCGGTCATGACGCTATGCAGAATATCGATGACTTGGTAACTTCTGACGTCGAGCATTTTCTTGATTTCTCTGGCGTCTTGCAATTGGCACAGCAACTGTCGAAACCGTTCTTGGAGATAAGCCTGAAGAAGTGCGGCTGACGTTAAAGTAATATTGTTACACAGTCAGATAGATTATTTTAGTGAATAACGAATTATCAACAGGAAGAACGAGGAAAAAAGAGAAGAAAAAATACACTGTATGAAATAACGAACAGATATAATACTGACATACGGTGAAAATTTTGTCTTCAGCTGCGTCTTAATCCTCTTTCAACAGAAGCAACACATTTTCACAACCGAATTCCTTCAGATAAAGAAATCATACTGCCTTCTTCTGACAAACATGTAGTTCATGCCGATCAATGGTTCAGTTAGATGCTGTCCAGGCTATGACTACGTCTAATACAAGAATTAACTGCGAGATTCAATCGGAAAAATGCAGTAAAGTAGTATTTGTAAAATACTATACAAAAATGCAAACTTGAAAATAAAACGAAACGCTTTACAATCTGGTGAAATAAGGACATTTTTGCAATTCCAACTTTTCAGGAAATGCACCTTATTATGACCAATGGTCATAGATCCTAATAAACCTACAATTTCTCCTCTACCTCTCCCATAAAAGACTGGAAAAAATTACTATGCAGTGCACAGTAACCGAATGTCAGATTTCCAAACCTGCTTTTGATCAGCCGCGTAGTCGCGAGTATCCGCATTCGAAAGCTCACTCTGCACTCGGTTCAGCTGGTGCGAAAGCCGCAACAGCAAAGCAGTGATCTTCTCAACATTTTCAACGTGAGTGAAAAACTTCTCCTTGTGCCTGATGCTGGCCACAGAATTCTCAACCGTCCGCTTGATCTGCGAGCCGAGAACCTCGTTTGAGCGGATCTCGTCGTTGATGGCGCGTTTCTCCTCTTCGAGCACCTCCAATTTCCGGGACAGTCTGGAGATCAGTTCTACCTGAAAGCAACGAAACCTGATTAAAGCAGCAAATGACACCTCCGTGGCGCAGAAAAAAGTGTAAAATAAATGCAGATGAAGGCGGCAGAAAAAAGTTTAAAAAATGAGATATGAAGGGGAGGGGGCTATGAATACTTCTGGTCTGGAGTTCAGATGAACGAGTTCGTTGTAAAGCGAGCAATGACGAAAGCACGCAGCCGCATTCAAGAATTAAGTATGATGCAGCTACGTTCATTCTTAAGTAATACTGCCACGTGGAACGCCTGAAATGAAATCGATAAAGACAAGCCAACTACGGAATAACAACAATGAACTGAGGCCTAAAAACTTCAGGTGAACTAGTCTACGGTGTTTGTACTGGAAGCTAATGTGAAAAATATGCGATGGTACGTCGCATGTATTAATGTGTACAGAGAGGATATCTTTACAAGATTAGATAAATCTATTTGGTTGATCAGACCTGATGTCCACATACAGGGTTTGTCTACTGTTCAGAGTAACGAAGCTACGAAAATTAACTTTCAGCAACACTATTAAACCAGATTTTCCTGATTTTGACAACGAAATCGGATAATAGGCATTTTATTCTCATCGATTAACCTCCACAAAGAATGGGAAAAGATTACTACATTGGGTAGGTCGGGAGAAGCCGAGGAGCAGGATAGGAGCAGATATGCTATACTATAGCAAAACGGATGATTAACGCGAAAGCAAAGTAGAGCCATGGGACATATGCAAACAGCTTGAATAGAACATAGCTTGGAAAGAAGCCAGAGCACACCTGGACAGACAGACAAAAAAGAACCTATATAATTATTGCTCGACGTCGCTAACGTTATTAAATCACAGTTCAAGGCTAAGGTCTGACTGCTGCAAAATCTAAGGTCTGACCAACTGCCAGCAACGAAAGTAATACTAATTGCAGATCATAACATATCATCGATGAACGACAAAAAGACTGTAATACTTCGCGGCACTTTTCACTCACAGGGTTTGTCATATGTTTTATTTATCAACAAGACCCAACATATCCTTCGTATCTCGAAAGTTTTTGGTTATCCTCCGAACTATGGAATGATGACGCATCATCAATGTTCATCATCAAGGGCAGAGGTTGAGCTATTCGCACTACATGTGAAACGTCGACAGTTGCTTTGTCATCATTAGATGCGATATTACAAAATAAATGAAAGCTAAATATCAATGTCAATAGAAATAGGTACAATTTAACTTATACCCTGTTTTTCGAGGCCGCACAAACTTCCTGTCAATCGTGCTGTTATTTCTTGACTCCTATATATCGTTTAACAAATACCGTCTGGATCTACAAATTTGACTTGCTCATAAAAGGTCATCATCTGTTTAGGGCGTTGATAGTACAACGAACTCGAAAGTCTGAACAACATATGATGCCTATAAGGCAAAACATGAAAAGTTCCATCTTCTGTAACATTGTTTGTGACGCGTGCTTGAGGTGGCTTTAGCGGACAAAATGATTCGAAACGCGTCTGTGCACTGCGGGTGATATGATAATATGGAGCCGTCGCGTATTTACGTCTCACTATAGGCAACTAAGACCAAGATAGGGGTGCAATCCACCGTGAAATCTAGTCTTGGAGGAGTCGTTCGTTGTATGGTACGATGAAAAGATGAGGCTTCCTTACGAAGTAATATATTCAATGCAGCGTATAACCCTTGTGACGGGATGAACGTTTGTATTATCAAAAATGTTTTGCACGCCAGGAGTGAGAAAATAGGTCAGCAACTGCACAGAGCACCGTATCCCCTATCCCCATTTTCTGGGCCTTTTTAAAGACCCTGCAAGAAGCTACGGATCAGTTCAATGACACACAGTACGAAATACGGCTTTGGAATAAGAACGGCCCAGAGCAACTCGTTTTCGATGTTTCGTTGAAATGTTTGAGCACCTGCTTCTGAAACAACACTGGTAACGAGCAAAAAACACACTACTATACTCAATAAAATAATACAATACCTCAGTACATGGCAGGTGCTCAAATCACATGGAGATACGGCTAATATAATGGCCGCCTATTCAGCTATGCGCAAAGCTGCTGTGCAATAAGTCGTAAAATGCGATCCATTTAAAATAAGTTCTGCTCCTATTAACATACTCTCAAGTACGAAAGCAGATTTTTTTCGTCGAGAAAAGACATGAAACCGGCTTCAGAAAATCGCCGGTTGAGAACAAGGCAAGCAGTGCAGGAGGCGAATTAGCCTGGTTGAATGGCCCATTTAGTATTCTAAAGCAATGGGACAATGTCGTATGTTGTGAATCTGAAATGATGTCACGGCAAGGCGGCACAGATTTAGTTGCTGTATCATTTTTAGATGTTCTCGCACCATCTTCGACCGCGTACCTGATCTCTCCAACCTGGAGGCTCACTGGAAAAGCCACACACAATATCAAAATTCTCTATGCCCCATTCCACGTTCATCGACGATGCTCAGCACCACAAAGCCAGATTCATGACAGCCAGTCTTCAAATAAAACTTAAAACGGGTAGAAAATCGTTATCTATACTTTCAGGCAGAATACCAGTGAACTGCAAACATTCTCAGCAAAACGTTGGGGAAGGGACTTCGAACAACTTAGCCATAAAATAAACTTTTTAAACTTAATGCATAACTATTCTGAGACCTAATTTCACCATTTCGGTAACTAACAGCTAGAGGTGGTTTAAAACGCCGTAAAACCTTGCCATTGAGGATTTACGAGTCAACCGTGCATTATGGTATTCTTGTAAAGTTCTGCAGGACAAGGACACGGACAGAGTTCTACGGGACTAGTTGCGGAACGAAGAAATAAGAAGATACATGGGAATGCAGAAAGTAGAATCAGTTTTACAAGAAAGAAAGCGACAATGAGCCGGCCACATCGCACAGCTTACAGACGATAGACTTGAACGGTGAAACAGTGGTAACACAAGAGGTTGCAAGTGCACAATTAAAAGACTTCGGCTCAAATGAAAGTTAAATAAAGATATAAAAATAGAGGCGCAAAATTACAGGAGACAAACGAAAGTAGACATCGAAAGCAAGCTATGGGAATCACTGTTAATCAGAAAGAAGACGCAGTTAATTGTTGCTATTGTCGTTGTTACTGCACAGCTGTTCTACATCTTCTTTTATTTATTTTTCCGTTGGTCTGTTATCAAAGAAAATAAATGCTTTTCTGTACTCTTAGAGAGGCGTAAACAACTAACGTTGAACTGAAGTGAAACAATACATGAAAAGTAAAGTTTAAACTTGTGCAGTACATATGCTTGGCTATGAAAACGACAAACGAGAAGAAATTGCAATCAAAGCGCCTGCCTTCTCTTTGTCCAGGTCGGTATTGACGCTTGAGATTCCGCCTGTGGTCTTGATATCGCCAAATTGGATGTCATCACCGGTGCGTCGCGATCTAAACAATTCCGAATAACGTTATAATCATAAGTCTGAAGGCGGCGTGCTCAAAGCCTAAAAAACTGACCCGCTGAGTGACGGTCGACCAGAATAACAAGATTCCGCAGGCCATTTGTTAAGCAAGTTCTCCAGCAACTCATTTAAATAAGAAATAGGTCCTGACGGCAGTAGCGTCACGTCTGTGTCGTACAAATCGTCCTTGTTTCCGGTGTCACCAATGCGATCCTTGCATCCCATAGATGAAAGATTGTCGCGTCCGTACCTCTGATCATTGTCGATCATGAACTTTGTCGCCACCAGCGACGGATGGTCGCTGCTAATCGACTCCGTGCCAACGCCTGCCGCCGGATCACCGCATTCGATAGCGGTTGTCTTCGCCGTCGTCGTATGGCACTGCTTCGTTGTTGTCTCCCAGTGATACGAAGGGGCAAGAGGCGACGACAGGTCCTGGTGCAGCGACACGCTTCCAGGCTTCTTTGGCACTGGCGGTTTGAAGGGGCGCATGCCGGATGACAACTTATCCCTCACGTCCGAAGAATAATGACGGGGATCATGCAACGAACAAACGCCGACCGGCTGCGGGCGGGGCGACTCTTGCAACATCGTTGGCACGGACGCCTTCTTGCTGGGAGCCGACTGAATCGGGTGCACTTGAGCGACGCTACGCTTCGGCGGAACCTGAACTTGCTGCTGACTAAAGGAGGATGACGACTTGACGCTCGTAGCTGTTGTAGAAAACAAAAAAAGCTATCGAGGAGTACAAGAAAAAACGTCCATTTTTACTCATACCTAAAGGACGAACAATCGTCGTCGGAATCGTCGAAGAATCACCTGCTTCCGCTCCAGTAAACGGCAGTTTTGCAGCATAACTGAAAACACCGATTCAAAGCTTAGAACACACCTAATAACACGTATAACAACGTTTGTCCGTACTTGTTGCAACGCTCGTCGCCGCAGACCACTTCTACTCGAACCGGGTCAGGCGGAACAACGTTTTTCGCAACCACTCCGGCTAATGGCACGTTTGGCATATTTCCGGACACCGAAGCACTACCGAAACGGTGCGCTGACATTAATAAGCTGAAACATGATGCGTCAATCGATAAGAAACACGACAAATCTTCATGTATCAATTCAACACAACATTTACGCAAAAAGATATGTAATCTGCAGACCAGTAATGCTGCATGACAAGCTAGAGGATGCGAGAGACACGGCTGCGCAGATGGTAGAGGGTCAGACCGAGATATCCTTTAGAGTTAGACATAAGTATCATTTTGAAAGAAGGCAACGGGGCACTACACGCTATACTTGCCAAGTACTAGTAGATTCTGCGTTTTAAAAAAGCACTCCTGTGTGAAGACACATAAAAAACAAATTACCTAAAACCATGAAATTATATGGGAGAACGACCTTTGAACGTTATAAACTTTCTCTTCTGTCTAGAACATAAAAGACGTGACTTCGATTCGTACCAATACATGCCGTACAGATACATTCATTTAGTAGGTGTTAGAATTTTTCTGCTAACAGACAGGTGAACGATTCAGCATAATTCCGCATTTTATCAGCTAAATACGTAGCCATTATATTTGGTATTGTTTCGCCGAGCTGTAGAAATGTACTGTAATTCTGACATTTGAACATTATATGCTACTCTATTCTTGAAACTTTTCCAGGGCCAATTGCCGACGTTCTCAAGACCTGTGAAATACAGTAAACCAAAGTAATGTTACGTAACTGCTTAGACAATCAAAGTGTACAGCCATAGCATCATTCAAACTGAATAAACGCCTGTATCAGTGGAATCGAACAGAATTTCCATTTCGCTACACAGTACAAATATGGTGCTCTGAAATTACTGATGCTCCTGTCCGACCAGGCAAAAACCTATTGGAAACTTGGGTAGAGAAAATATGAAAACATCAAAATCTGGTTATCGATCTGAAGTGGGTATATATGTTAAAGACTGACCGAACAACAGCAACTGTCAGATCTGCAAATGACCCCATTCTAAAATCAGTGAGGATAAGCTTGAAGTATAAGAAAGTTACAGAAATGGCACTGAAAAGTTGCTAGAAGACGGTTGTTCTGGACACATGCAAGAGTGCAAAAGTGCGAAAGATAATTGATATAAACTTGCAGAAGCCCGCAGATAGTTGGCCATGGCTGGCTAGTCAATGGAATATACTAATTAATTGAAATGAACCTTTTTAATTATATACATTACAATTGAAACTACTAAACATTAACGATTGAATTCAAACTTGAGGTAAGTTTAAGCTAATAACTGACAATTCATTTGGCCAATTAGCAAACACTGAATTTCACAATAGAATCCACATTAATGTGCGTCCTAGTTGATGCACCAAATTTTCATTCAGAATCTGATATATATGAGAACCGATCAGTCATTTCGTCTTCTTTCTAAGTACGCATTCATATCATAAAAACAATCGAACCACTTTTGAAATGATTATTCCTCTGCTAGTTAAACCAAAGCATAACTGCCTCGACAACACTTCTTACCAAGGAGAACAAACTTGAGATTTTGAGATATTCAAGAATCACCTTACGTACCTAAGTGGCAAACAATCTATGTAAGAAAAAGAAATGCCAAATGACTAGGTGAAGGCTATTGTGATATTTAATACTTAATAAAGGCTGTTTCATAGATGCAAATGACTATCGTTCTCTTTCGTTGAAGGGTTCGTACACATTACGGTGAACATGATGAAACAACAATACGTGAACATCTCGACTAGCGAGTAGTCCTTTCTCAGAATAGGCTGAGGATCAACAGAGGAAACGAGTGAATGGAGAAGCGAATTCCTTGCAAACATCGTTGATTTAACCAATGCCATTCACTTAATCTGAATAGATGACTTGTAGAAAGTTAGCAAACAATAGAAAGTCCCACCACAGATTATTTGCGTAATTAAAAAAGATGTACGATCCGTCGTCAACTGCGCTGCTAAATGATGGCAGGCAGCTTCAGCAAATTCTCTCAAAGGTTCGACAAAGTTCAGAGAAAGGCAAAAACAAATCGCAGACTCCTCTGCCATTTGCGCTGTTTCTTGACTTGACTGAGTAATGCATTTGGCAAGGAGTGAAACTACGGTGGAAAGAATGGGCAATATTTGCGTAAACTCCCTTGCATCTGAGGATGACAACGTGTTACCTGCCGACAACTCTGAAACTGCGACATCACAGACCCTAACTGTCATACAGGAGAATTCTGATCTGCGTATATCGACTATATTAAAAAAGACAAATTGAATGCGATGGTTTGAGCATATGTTGCGAATGCCCCAGCAAGGAATACGAAGGTATTATTTCTTGCACAGCCGACCGTGGAAAGTCCAAGGGAAGACCAGAATATCTGCATATTCTGGGAGTACATTGGCTGTAAAATGAAGGAGCCATAAACGGATTTAATAATCGGAATGTATTGATATTAGCACTGAACATAGCTACAAAAATGTTATTCCATTTATGGAGGAATGAAATCTTGGGAATAGCACTAAGCCAAGGATGTAAAGGACTTGTATTCAGAACGTACTTCTGCATAACTTGGAGACGGAAGCACTTAGGGCTGAAAACATTAAACTGAATTCGACTGAAACAAAGATTTTATGCTCAACATTAGAACTGAAATAGTACGAGCAGCTTGTAATCTGCAAAGTGGTGGTCAAATTTCTGTGGCGAATTTTGCGACCAATTCATATAGTGGAAGCAATAGGAATGAAATTTTTTTGCATATTGTGCCATTTTTGGAAAGCGCCAAACCATGAGCCTCATACGTGCAAGACAAAAATTGCCGCGTTGACAGAACTTTCGGCGCCCATTGTGCCAAATGGCAAATTTGTCTTCATTTTCACTCAGAACATGAATTTCGCACTGCCAGCGTTTACCTCAGAACATCAGAGTCATCTCATATGGATTTAAAATGAACTGCGGAATTTCGGCCCTCCCGCACAGTGGTAGTATTAGATAGTACAAAAATGCAGAAACTGCCGTCAGGCCTGCTATTAGTTCTGTTAATAATTAATAATTAATTAACAGTTTTTAGTCGTTACAAACCTACATCTTCAGAAACGTTCGAAACGGAGCCAGCTCGGTCAGTAAAACACACCAGCATCCACCCACCCATATGCGCGCATAAATATGCGGTCAGGCTAGCGCATCAATCGGATATATCGTCAACACGAAGGCCACAGAGTGGAAAAACAGCGCAACAAAAAACTCGTGAATGTAGGACGAGGGGAGTAGCAAAGCAAGACAAACAGTTAGCTTGGCGACCGCAGGAATTCCTGAAGGTTAATCATGCGATGATAAGATAACAAATAAATCAGGGGAAATAAATTCTTGGAAGGTGAATCACCAAGCAATGAGCAGTGGAATCACTAATCTCTTATGTACACATCTGACGAATTGATAAAACGGCAAGCAACCGGTTTGCATGATTCATCCTTAAGGTAATCATCGTACAGTGTTCTTGAGCAACTGATTCTTCACGCCTAACAATACTCTCGGTGTGCTGATCGAAAGCAGCTGTAAGCATGTTCAAAGTTATTAAACAGTAGAGCTATCTCGACAAACCAAAGGCTAAGTAGTTTTCCTTTTCGAGGATGGATGAGGCAGTAGTCTTATGACTAAACCTAGAAAACTCTGATAATGGAACTAAACCGGACATTGTTATACTGACAATCGTTAAACTGAAAACCTTATACATGCATGTTTTTAACGAAACAACGATTTTTTAAGTTAAACGGGGTATGCGATGTGATGATCATTACCTAATACTGGAAGAAATACTTATAATCGAACCATCCGAGATTTTAAATAAGCATTCGACAATGCTATCAATATCACCAGTAATACAAAATAACATCTGTCACGAACATACGCTGCTTCTTGCATTGCTAATGTAAATATATATTCACTAATGACATAAGGAAGAGTAATGTTGGCCAATGGCAACATCCACTGTCACTTCCAGCAATACTAGCAGCATTTTCAAAACAACAGTTTACTTATCAGCAGTATCATTTCTAGGAGTCACGGAGCAAAACTACGTATGTTAGATCAGTTGTAGCGCTACCTGTGCTGCCATTTCGAGTCGCACCATCTGTAGCAATAACGTCAATCGCAGCAGTAGCATGTTTTATGTTTTGCCAGATTAGTTACCAGCGGTACCATCCGAGCAGTTGCAAGAAATTGTTGGAATTACTAATTATAGCACAATAGAGGCTATTACTTGTACTGAATTTAACATTAAGCGTGTAAATAACAGCTGAGTTATAAAACAGCTGTAGTACCGCTTATAACAGCTCTGGGACAGTCATATAAGTAGAAGTACTACTGCGGCAACAGCTATGATTAAACAATAACTTTACCAACAATGCTAGTAACAGCAGCAATAACTATGTACCTATAGCACTATTGCTCGTAAGAATGCTTTGCAACAAGACAAATACTAGGACCACTAGGAGTTTTAGTAAAAGCATCATCTAAGCTGTGTAATAATAGCATTCAGAGCACAATGCTCCTACAGTAATAAGCAATTAAATGCAATGACGCAATCGCTAGTACTCTAGGAAGTATTAGTTCGACTTCTCCATTAGCTACCGCTCAGAGCGATGTAGGAATACTACTTGAGGTAACAACAGAAGTCACTTTAGTACTTTATATTCCTCTTAATAATTGTAGTGTATTATAACAAGTAGAACGATTACTTATAGAAAAATCGCAACTACTGCTTGTTATGGTACTACAAGCACGTAAAACATCATATTACTACTGTTTCAAACAATTTATACATCACTAGAACCTTATAGAAAGCAGCTGGACAGCTTTACAGCGATACATATAGTACTAAAGATGCAACAGTTGAAGAAGCTGCAGTACTTACTACTCGTCTTAACAGTGGTTGTGTAATAACATAATTACCATAACCATCAGAAATGCTAGCTACTTCACCATTACCACTATAATCGTGTTCCTTTCTCTTATTCATAATGGTCATTAT